GGAGACTTCACCAATGGATTATGATTTGTCTAACCTGATCTAGCAGAGAGCCAAGCCAAAACGAGTCATCAAGAGCGGAGACCAAGTTAAGACTGGATTACCAGCAGGAGGGGGCGTGACAAGTTTTGGATACTTGGTCTCAAGAGCAGGCAGACAAAGAAAACCCATTGGTGGAGTCTCCGTCTCCTGTACTGGAGAAGAGTAAAGAGGCAGCCTAGCTTGGAGTTGCTCTGTGGGAGGAAGTGGCAGAGTCCAGACTATTGAAGCCTTTATCTGCCTGTTCACAAGAAAATGCAGTTAGTCTTGCAAGATTCTTGTAAATAGGAGATCAAAAATAAAGAAACTACTTTGGCCTACTCTCAGAGTAGTTTCTGGTTCCTTGCAGGTAACACAGGGTGGATATAAAATAAATTAATTTACATAATCAATTAGGAAGATTCAACTTTATGCTTGTTTTAAACACAGTGTTTACAGTACACTTAGTTATTTTAACTTTTTAAAAATAAATTATTCAAATTATACATGTACTTAGGTTATTTAGTTCAGGGGTCCCCAACCCCCAGTCTGTGGACCAGTACCGGGCCGCGGCATGCCAGCAACCGGTCGGCACAAACAAGCAAAGTCCCATCTGTAGGATGCAGGCAGCACACAAAACTGCGCACCCTCCGGTCCGTGGAAAAACCCCTCTCCATGGAACTGGTCCATAGTGTCCAAAAGGTTGGGGACCTCTGATTTAGTATATAGGAAATGTAATTATGTCAACTTTGTTGAAAATTAGTGCAGCATTTCAACACTGCTATTTGTCATGTTTGATTTGCTGGCTCAGAAATAGAAAGCCTTTTAATCTACAGTTTTATTTCCAATTAAGTATTTTTGGAAGAGTCAAAATATTTTGCTGTATTTGCGCACAATATATAATAAATTACAAATACAGGTATTCCTCAACTTATGACCAGAATTGAGCCTAAAATTTATGTTGTTAAGTGAGACAGCTGTTAAGTGAATTTTGATCTATTTCACAACTTTTCTTGCCATAGCTGTTAAGTGAATCACTGCAGTTGTTAATAATACAATTGTTGTGAATCTGGTTTCCCCATTGACTTTGCTTGTCAGAAGATCACAAAAGATGATCACATGATCCCAGGACACTGCAACCATCATAAATATGAACCAGTTGCCAAGCATCCAAATTTTGATCACATGACCACGGGGATGCTGCAACAGTTGAAAAATAGTTGTAACTCACTTTTTTCAGTGATCTTGTAACTTCGAACAGTCACTAAATGAACTGTAAGTTGAGGATTACCTGTACAATATATATTGATATGATATAGTATTATAAACTATTATAAGTTGATCTAATTTAGCTAAATTTAATTTATTTTGAGAATGACTTACCGACTCCATGTAAACTCCATTGGTAGTGGATTTGCATCAGCATTACACCTGAGCAAAATATTCTCTCTTCCAATATACCAGTTTCCATCATATCCAGTTACTGTAACCTCAGGAGAATCTACAAACATACATAATTATAAGCATTTGCATAAGCCATTATGGAAATACTTAAAATAAGTCCAGAGTAAAATATAAAGACAAAGGCAATTTTAATGAAGAACACTTCATTTTATAATTTCAAAGGCTACCAAATAATCTTTTATCTCTTAACTCCTTAAATCAAACTACCTATATCAATACTTTTAAGATAAAAACATGTAAGTTGGTTCTTAATTCATAACTTTTAAAATGTGATAATAGAATTAAAAGTAGATTTTTTTTTCATAGCAAGTCTGATAAAGTTGATCATGTTTTTATCAACACCTATGATAAAAGGACCAGGTAGTGATTTTTTTTAATTGTGTTGTGTTTTATGGATATATTAGAAACAGACTCAAAATTAGTCTGATTTTTTTCTCTATAAATGAAAATAAGAAATTGATTAGTAACTTATTTAGATTCAATTTTTACAATGCAAGGTCCAATATCAGTAGAAATAATTGTCGTAGACAAATTATCTTCAGTATATGCTAAACAGTTTTATGTGTTCATTCATAATATATGTTCCATATTGTTACTTTCAAACACAATTTAACTTATCTAAGTAAACATTCTGAATCAATTTCATTAACTGAACACTTTTAAGATTTTAGTATGTTTGGCCTGAATATTGCATTTCAAAATCTGGATAATTAGGGAATTAAAAGGACAGCTGTATGTTGCAAATTAATTCATAAGGTGTAAAACAAAATATATACTCAAAAGCACATTAAACATGTTTAAGAACATCAAAGCAGACAATTCCAAATGAAAGAATGGCAAATTAGTCATAGCCTCTATTATTACCGTATTTACATGCCCATAATAAAATACATATTAAAAAAGTTAGTTAGCTCAATTTTTATATAACTTAATGTTTATGTTTTAAAGACCCAGTTTGGTGTAGTGGTTACTGGGTTACTTAGGTACAAAGCCAGCTCAGTGACTTTGGGCCAGTTATTCTCTCTTAGCCCTAGGAAGTAGGCAGTGGCAAATCACTTCCAAAATCTTGGCAAGAAAACTGCAGGAACTTGTCCAGGCAGTTGTCAGGTGTCAACAGTGATTAAAAAGCATCAAATAATAATAATAATAATAATAATAACAATAATAATAATACTAATAATAATAATAATAATAATAATAATAATAATGCTTCAATATCTTTCAGATCCTTTTGAAGCTGATTTCATGTAAGATTATGCTAACATTCATAACTTGAAATAATTTTACAGAAAGAAAAGTGACAAGCAGGGTTGGGCAAGTGAGGCCCTAAAATACAAACCTCCATTTTACAGTGCTTGAAGCCCTCTCTGAAATACAATTGTTGAAAATCAGAAGAATGGTCATCATCATTCTGATCCATGAAATGTATAAAAGAACAGATTGGAGTTTGTGTGTGCATGTGTGTTATATTACTCTAAACTAAGAAAAAATAGGAATGTTTTTCTCACACCCACTTGTAAAACATGACCCATGTCCAAGTCTGTCCCAAAAATATAGGTGTGCATACTGAAACAAAAGACATGCCCACTAATATATTATTACTTACATTGAATATCAAGCACATAAAGCATTCTTATCTCCTTTTCTAAGGCTGGGTGTCTCACGATACAAGCTATACGTCTTCCTCTAGCAAAGCGGGTAGGAATAAGCTTATACTGGCTCTCCACTGTGACTGTTTCATTTGGATATGAAGTTGAAGTGGATTCCATTTCACCAAGACCACCTTCCCAGACAACCTCTGCAGCTGGTTTTCCAGTAGCTGCAGTACAAATGGCTGCAACTGTCTGATTGGCACCATCTATTAACGGATTTGGTCCCTTTGTTAAGCTCACAGTTGGTTCAACTACAGAAAAAAATACAAAAAAAAAAAATCAAATACATTAAATACTTTAAAAACTTTTTAAAATAGAACATGTGGAACAATTTCCAGCTTCATAACGTTCTCCTTTGACTGTAGTTTCTGTACTACAGAAGTGAACCATCTTATAAGAAGTGGATGGGCAAAATATTAACATTAGTTACGTGACTATGGAAAGTTATACCATTCAAAATAGACCCATCTCCCTCTGAATTTACAAAAAAATAGATAATGTCTTACAATATTCTGATATGAGGCCGATTGAATTAATGATGGATTTC